ATCAGAAATAGAGGCGGCCATGTTGAACATGAACTGTAGAATAAGAAAAATTTGTGTGAAAACCTTTAATAAATGACATTTCATGCTTAACTATTGTTTTATTTTACTTTTTTGGGCTAAGTATAAATTTTCTTCTCCACTGTCGCCTATGAAACTAAAGTTTTTTCAATGCATTTGAATAAAACCTTAGATTATTATACCTCGTTAGATAGCTGATGAAATTTAGATATTTTAAAAAACATCTGCCGAACAATTACCATAATATTGTTTTTAGATATCCGTTAGAGAAAAATAATTTTCTAATATTTTTTTTTATTTCTTTAGTTTCACTTGTCTACTACGATCTATTCAATTAACTTATGAACTTTTTTTAATGACTGACGTCCTAAAGCATCTTATTACACATGTAAAAAAATAATAATAATAAGATACACAAAATAAACAAAAATAAATCTAGTAGCCTAAAAATCAGCAAATTTCAAAAAAAAAATTAAAAGACGATTATCTCGAAAAGGGTTAAGTTTAGGGTAGGGTGTTTCATAGTGAAATATGTCAGAAATGATGGGTACTCCACGCCCTTAACGGATCTAGCACGACTTTTCTTGTAACCCTGTATATATATATATATATATATAAACACATAGTCAGGTCATAAATTCAGTCAAAAACTTTTAATGTAAAAAATGATACAATAATTTATTATTATTTAAATATCGTAAATGTAATGAACGGTAATTAAATGTAAAATACACTTTTATTTACATTATTGAAAGTGCCCTCGCATATTTTGAATACATGCCCTTAATCGACGCGGCCAATCAACGCACCAGACTTTCTCCTCCAAATGTTGCAGTCCAGTGGGTTTAAATCTAGATTAGAAGAGAGCCAGTCTTCATACCCGATGAAGTCAATTCCACGGGCGGTGAACCAGTGTTGTGTGCTTCATGCTTTATAAGCTGGTGCAGAGTCCTGTTGGAATATCCAGTGTAGTAAGAAGAAGAAGTATATACTGTTTACAGGTATACTTATTATTATATTATAAACAATATTGTAAAATAGCCTTTTTATACATATCGGACACACTGACACAATTTGCTCGCCGCTCACCAGTCGTAACTTACCCTCTATACGCACCGCTACCGCTTTTACTTTAAATTGTTTACCTTTGTCCACCGAAGTTCTAGTATTTGTGTACCCATTCCATATGTATATATTTCTTCTTAAGTGTTTCTTGTGAAACTTACTTTACCTCTCTGCCAATATATTTAATGTATCAAAAGTTTCTTCAACTATTGTTTCGCTAACATTCTGTAATGTTTTATTACAATTACCGACTTCATCGTAATATTGCTTTTATTCTATGTAAAGGCAAAGACCCCTTTTATCAGTCTTGTTACAGTAAAAACCTGGTGTTTCATAGCTCTAAATGGAGGTAATACTACTCTTGACTAAGAACTCTAGAATGATAATAAAGAACTACGATGCAAGGTTGTCATCCCCCAAACGTTATACTCAATTAAAATAACGTATCAATATATTAACAACATATTCGTATTACACATAGTTCCGAGATTAACTAACGTCCGAATTTTTTTCATGTACCTCACATCCTTAACGACAATGATCTGCCTACTCCGTAGCTGTTTGTTTATACATGGTAAATAGCATAATGATAAGGAGTCTTGTATGGACTTGGATATAAGATTCGCAGATCCTACTGACAAACAAAGACGTATCCATACGGACAGAATTATAGTGATTGATTTATTTTTATGACCAATATTTTATTTTAAAATTGTTAAATGACTTCCGGAACACGATTTTATTTTTGTATATTAGGTTTGTTAGAATGTGTCTATACCTTTACAATGTCAGCTCTCTATAAAGCCACCGCACGATGTAACAACAGATAAATTGAATCAGGTTTAACGCGAAAGCTTATTTGTAAGGTTGCAACATGAAACTAAAATAGAACATAGAGGACATTATAGTACACTCATCATCTATTTTAAAATATTTGTTGGGCATAGACTTCTCATTGACTTTCAAGCAGACGGGTTGATAGAGGTCTGTACCCAGCGACAACCTGCAATTTATATAGGTAAGTTCAAATTCTAATCATCATTACCTTGACGTCTCTCGATGTATTGTCTAGACCATGATCTCCACCAAAGAACCTTTCCCTTCCACCAGCTATCAGTTTTATAAGCAGAGCAGGCAGGGTACGTAGCAATCAAATTGCATTGATGGGAGTATGACGATAATCTTCGATTGTTTGGATATCCTTATTTCTAATTCAAGTCAACAGGAGAACCCCGAGAATTGTCTTCTCCATAGGTGTGTGCTTGTTTAACAGACATACTGTAACTACAATTAAAACACGGATACTGAAAAGTTACAACCGATAGCGCATGTATGAGTGAGCCGATGATTGTTTATATTTTAATTTTTCATCTGAATAAAAACTTAGCTTCTGATTAAAAATTCATATAAAATGGGTAGTTACTACAAGAATAATTTCGATTGAATTTGTTAAATACTGGTGTTCGTAACTTAGTCTACGTAAAATAAGTTTGATAATATTTTGTCTATTCTTAGGTTCTAATTGACACGGTTCGATATGGTTTACGAAGAATTGCTAGAAACCTTTTCCTTATTTAAACTATTACTCATTTAAATTTGTAGTGTTCAAGAGAAGCCGGGTATGAACATTGAACTTAAGGACGAGTACTGGTCATGGGTATGGCGATTATTAATAGTTTTTTAAATCGTTTTTTAATAAAAAGACAACTCCTGCATTAGTAATATATCCTAAGTGAGAGTGCTTCCATGATTTATTGTAGCCAAATTTATCCAGATTTTCGTTTTTTTTTATATCTGTAAATTCTCATAGACATTTCGCTATCTTCAAAATGTATGTTCGCACCAAAAAGGCAAATGCAAGAATTATTGCTTACTAGCTGTACCCCACGGCGTTACCCGCGGTACTCATCCCATGGTAACACTACAGTTTTCCTGATGAAAAGTAGCCTATGTGTTAATCCTGGGTATCTGCTACCTCTATATCAATTTTTATTACCAATACACACTCACAAACTTTCGCCTTTATAATATCAATAATATAAATGAAGAAAGCTCTAAAGAATGTTCAAAGTAATTCTGATCTCTATTAAAATTCGATTAAATAAACTTGACCAAGTGCTTTCCATACAAGTTTTGTATCTCTAATTTACCTTTAAGCTTTATTTTCGTAATAAAAAGGAGTTTATGACCTTTCCCAAGGTCTTGTTTGCCTCCATACCAAAATTTGGTTTACCAAATTGGGTTAAATACAGAACTTCGGTTCCTTTTTAGCTGTACATTTGTGGACTTATACTTATTTAATTTACAAGACTTGCTCTTGTAAATTGGGTGAGTTAAAGTATAATGATATTAGTGGATCTAAGTTAACAAACCTTGGGTTATACAAAAATATATATACTGAACCTACTTTAGCAACTCTCTAGAGTTGACAGGGAACTATGTGTCATCTGGTATCCTGCACAGCAAAGACAAGGTTCTGTGGAGTGAGTGAGTGAGTACTTTGCAACGCTTCAAAGTTTGACATTCACTCGAAAATTACGTACATTAGAGGATCAAAATTAAAACGCCAATATTGGGAAGTATAAGTTATATTATAATAAAAGTTTATATAATTTAATTATAGCATAAATTTTTCTGTATGTAGTACATAACTAGCACAGTGTAAGAAATACATTTTCACAATGTGAGCATATTTTTGTTTTGTTTAAGTACAATAGCTTACATTAGTATATTGATTACATTATCGCTGTGAATGATCATGTGTCGGCCATACGTCAATTCTTCCCCTTAATTGAAGTATTACCCACACAAGGTAATGAAGGTGATATTTTTATTTATATTTATTTCAACATACATCTTGCTGTTGTACATTATCAATCAAATTTTGTCGCAGAACCACTAAACGTACTCACATTTTGTGCGCGTTGCAAAAACCTTTGGTTAAAGCATCAGAAGTGCAATGAAGTAACTTACGAAGTAGGTATTATATTTAATATGTGTAAATTTCCCCAGTTTACACATTGAAGACTAATAGACTAAAGAACTCTGTAATGAATGAAATGAAACCTTAACTTCGATTCACAACTCTCTCACATAGAAATGGTTTAAAGAAAAGCTATCATAGCCCTTAAAGCTAAAATTTAAAAGTCTTATAGTATAGAAAGCGGCGTCGAAGCTTCTCTCCGCATATTTAAAATATCCACTGTTCAAAATTCTGATCGCTCCGCTTTGGAGGATGGTCCCCGTAACTAAATAGTTTTAGTTCTACAATGCTTAATAGTAAGCTAATCTTTAATTCTAAGGCAGGGAGTAGAATCTAGCATAGTTACTTACATCGGATTATGACAATGAAGAAACATTCTGACCTATCTAACAGTAATCGACGTTTTAAACTATTAAACTACAAATGTTTGCCAAAAAGCGTTACAGGTATTCGCTAAAAAAGCCTAAGTAATTAAACTTATGTCTTAAAGTATTACTCGTTGAACTGTGCACTACATCTATTAAACGTGATCTTAATTGGGTTGTGAACGTGATCGATAACTATCAGTTAGTTTTCATTATATATGCTAAATTTGTGTCATTAATGTATCTTAATCCAAAATAATATCCAAGATAGTCAAAATTTCGTGTATTTTTGAGGCACTTTATAAGTGGCTGAATTTCCGACATTATAGTGCATATTGCTATAAATTTTTATGAATATAAGTCTAATAAATTTTTAAACCATCGGTATAATATATCACAAATAATTTAAACAATGGACTGGTTTTTACAGTACCTACTTCATGACATAACGTTATGACACACTTTAGTCTCAAAGAATCTTGCATCTTCTACGAAGTCACTTGTGTAATTTTTTTTAAATATTTCAGAACTTTTCAGACATTTTCTTTTTCATGCTTGTTGTGTTTATTTTAAACATCCGGGGCACGAATCTCCACAGTTACCGAGGTTGGTCCTGGAGTCGTAGGTGATCTAAGAGTAGCCGATCTTAGAGACGTCGCTGAATGGCCACTACTAGCTCTTGAACCTCGTCGAGATCCTGAAAATGAATTAATTGCGCTAAATTTTCACGAGTAACTATTACCTCATGGTAAGGCATGCTTTTAGCATGATTTTCATAAAAAGTACATGCCGTGATTTATTTTAAACTAAACGTTCGACCATATATCAATGTATAGCTTGATCAAAGCTTATCTAATAGAACTTACTATATTTAAAAGATTTGATTTGTTTTTTCTTTGTTTAAATTTGCATGCACTTATATGCAATAATGTTTATGCTAGTAGTTATTCAAATTATTAGACAATTAAAAATGTAATTTTATGATAAGACTTGTTGAAATGAACAGTGATAAAAGTATTTATCATTGTGAATAAAATTAAAAACAAATGCAACTATTTTAATTTACTAAAGCAGTCAAATGTACAACTATATGTTAACAGCCGTTTATGTACATATAAAATGAGCCCTAGTATATATATCTACAGATTTTTTTAAACCTAAGTAAGAATGTATAGTTCATTTCTTTGTAGTGGATAAGGGCCTTTATTACATTTACGTCATTAAAGTTATTTTGGTTCGGAACTATTTAGTGGCCTAGTTAAATTTAAAAACTAATCATTTTTTAATTAAAATTTGTATGCGTGTGCCATAAAGTGCTACATTGTCTTGTAAGATCAAGTTGTACAAACACTAATTTTGTATTACAATATTTATGTTTCTTTAAAATTTAATTATTTGAAGGTTAGGTATGGTTAATACAGAAAACAGTTTATGAAGTCGGTACATCTATAGAATCGTTATGTGTAATGCAAAACACTTATTTAAACATATGTTGGTTAAGTGCTATACAATATGGCAAGAGTAATCTGCCGAACACAATATTCAAAGTTTTGAGGTTGCTTATTTTTGAACTTATTCAATTCTAACTGAAAAAAATATTCACAGTGCGAACTGAATGTATGTATTATGTATATTTACTTTGTTTTAAATATGATCAATAAAGGAATCAGGATCCTGTTAATTATTTAAAATATACTAATTACACTACTCTAAATAAAATTGTAAAAAGATGTGTTCACATATATCATAGAGTGAAGTCTTTGAGAATAACTACGTACTGCTTGTTTATAATTTCAATGTATTTTTCTAAGTCGACTTTAAAACTATAGTGTGTAATTAGGGTTGTCATTGTCATTAAGTACCAGCAAGCAGTTTCTTTTGTTTAACTACATATAATAAGGCAACGTAAGGTCTAATGTGGTTATTCCCCTTTTTTTTTCTTTTAATCGTTATGTTTACTTATATAAAACAAAACCAATGTAGATTTAGCCACCTGCTCTAGACCAATTTCAAAGACATTTAGCACGACACCTCAATATACCCCTGAATATACTCGTGCCTTTGCGGTATCATCCACATAAGAGAAGGTTCGCCCGCCATTATTTCCAATATCACATGTAAGTTAGGAACAACATCGGAGCAATCACACACCAATATGCCTTAGACTACATTTAATTCACTAGTCATGATAGTGATCGAGGTCTTTTGCTTTCATCTACCAAATAACGTTTCAAAAGTTAACGAGTCATTCCCGTTATCCTTATGTTCTCAAGTTTGGAAGAAGAATGGAAACGAAAATGGTGTCAAAAGCTTTCTTGAGATTTAAGAAGATAGTAAGGCGTTTATGTTATGGATCTACTTTACTTCTAATTTTATTTGCTAGTGACAAAACCGCATTTTGTCTTGGGATTCTCTAGTCCCTTCCTGTAAACTTATTGCGTTTTTTTTATAAAATACTATACTTTTCGTCGTCATTTACGTTAATTTGTATTTTATTTTTAACATTTTTGGAACACTTTTGTGCAATGTGTTTTAATTTTTTTCATAGTTAAACAGCTAAATATATATGCATCATTAATATTACTATTTACGCCAATATTCTATGTTTACGATGTAAGTACAATAAAGAAGGTTAGAACCTTCTATTCTAATTTTCATGGCGCTTCTATTTATGGACAGTATTAGTGGTTGATTACTACGATGTTGCAATGGTTTTGTGTAGCAAATCAGTAAAATTTATGACATATAAAAATAAACAACGTCAAAAGAAATTCAAACCTTCAAGACTTAATGTCATTAGCACAGTTCTGCACGATTCATTATTAAATGAACACATCTTTTTCCAAAGAGAATTGTACAATGTACTAGATAAAAAGTGATTATCAACCCAAGCTGTAGTTGAGAGCACCTAACCTTCCATGTCAAAAATTTAATGAGCTTACTCAACAAGCAAAATGATATCATAATGTAACCTGAGGACTTTCGGTGTAGCTGATGACTTTGATGGTGGCGTGCTGTTGATACATGAAATATATATGATTAGCATTTATAGTGAGGAGGGGAAAGGGCAAGATCAATATACAGAATGTCCCAGCAGTCGACGTCAAGCCGTAATCGAGTGTTAGGTCAAGTCATAATAGTTAACAGGAAAATATAAAAAAAAGGCTGCTACCAATTTTAAAAATTACAGGCATTTTTATGAAAATCGAGGATATCTACACTTTTAAAAAGGGTTTTTGAAAGGGTCTTTAAACTCCTGTTAGTACAGATTTTATCTTTAGTTAAATTTTCTTTTCCTTACCGGTTTAAATTTTTTTTTATCCAAAAGCTTTTCTTAAGCCTGCTATTTAATATTCTAGTTTGAGTGAAACGGAGGGAACCAGTTGACGAAGTGTGAGCGAGACAGAAATCATCTTTTCATGTAGTCCAAAATCACCACGAGCCATAGTAATGTTGACTCATTGTATTTGCTTTAAAATTAGAATTTTTCGTTCTTATTTAGAAAAGTTTTAAATTAATAAATGAAACATCGATTATTTGAATGCTAAAATTTCTTAAACAAACATAATGCCTTAATAAAAAATCAAGGATGGAATATTTACAGCAAATGCTCAAAATGCCTTCCTTTACTCGCAATGCATGCTCGGCATCTTCTTGGAAAGATTCGGGTTATCAGACGAGTGAATCACCCATTATTAACAAATTGAGCCGCTTCAGTTAGTCTTTGCCGTAATTTTGCTACATTTTTAAAAGGTTTAAAATTAACTTTTTCTTTGACGGCTCCTCAGTAAAAATATTCTAATATTCTAAATTCAAATCAGGTGAACAGGCTGACCACGAGATTGCACTAGATCACTCTATCCATCTGTTAACTCAAACCAGAATCTTAAGTAACCTTAGGTTACAAATAAAACTTTTTAGACAGGTAGGTAAGGATAACAATTTTTAGAACAGGGTTTCTTTAAAAATAATATATATTTATCGTAATTTAACAAACAATCTTGCAAGTGTTATACCATTTTCGAATCCTTATTAAATGCGCTAACTTTTAAAGTTACTTGCCAAACTCGTGTAGTATTTTATTTTTTTCAGGACAGTCATTTAAAACTGGGCAAAGTATTAACTTTCAATACCTACTTGGTTGGTAAAAAAATACATTTCCTTCAGAAATGGAGCAGTATGCTGTAAATTTTAAGCAATATTACATAAAAATAATAATAAAAAAGTTAAAATTTGTAGTAACAGGAGTTAAAAATAGTAGCAAGGTGTAGATTTTCTCGATTAAAAAAAAAAACCTGTAATTTAAAAAATAAAAAATAAATATTTTCTGTTAACTAATATCACCCGATTCCGGCTTGACGTCGACTTCTGGGACACCCTGTATGCAGATATATATTAAATTTTAATGCAAAGTGTCTGAGTAAAAGTGTCATGGCTTCTGTAGTTAGTTTAAAAGTGAGATAAAAATGTAAGCTTACCAAGAATGTCAAAAACATCGGTAGTGTATTTAAATTTTAAAAAGGAATCAAAGGAGACAAACTAAATTTTACGTGACTTTGCCCATTCCCCTTAAAAATTAGTAAAGATAATTCACCACAATTAAATACAAAACACATTAATTTAAATATCTAAGAAAACATTTTAAAATCAGTGCAACATCAAAATACACATTTAGCTGTAAATTTCAAAAGCAATGCTGAATTTAGAGACCACGAAGGTCTAAAATATATAGCTATTGTTGCAATAATTATTACAGTAAAAATCTTATAAAAAGAACAACATTGAGAATGACATCTAGAATCCTTAAAAACAACTAAGCAAGTAGGTACATCTAGACTGGTAAAGATTAAAATAATTTTAGTTTTGAATAATACTTGTAATTGTAATTTACTCCAATAGACAGGTAGAATTAGCTTTTTGGTCAACGAAATACCTATTCGAGCGGAATTTTCCTTTTATTAAAGATTCAACTATCAGGTATTGATTGAAATAAAAATTATAACACAAAACTGTCAGCTAAGGTGGCAAAACAAACGTCAAAAATGATATAAACAAGTTTTTCGCATCTCGCATCTGGAGCGAAAATCAAAGCTCCTACGAAAATAAGTTGAATGTAATAAAAAAAAACAAAGAGAATGAACCCCCTGGAGAGCAAAATCGAATCATCAGATCGCCGAAATTTGCAGAAAACTACGTTTTTTTTTGAAAAACTTTTTATTTGTTACATTCAATTTATTTTCGTAGGAGCTTTAGTTTTCGCTTCAGACGCAAAAATACTGATTTTTACCATTTTTGACATTTTTTGGTACCTTAGCTGACAATATGCTGTTATAATTTTTATTGCAATCAATTACTGATAGTTGAATCTTCAATAAAATATTTTTTCGCTCCAATAGGAGTATTTCGGATTTTTCAGGATTTTTTTGCGATTCTACTTGTCTACAATGTATTGTCTACAATCTGACGGGCCTGTTAGTAGTTAGTGACCCTGACTGCTAAGCCGGAGGTGGTGGGTTCGATTCCCACTCAGGATAAATTTTTGTGTGATGAGCACGATGATTTATTCTGTGTCTGGGTGTAATTTATCTATGATATGTATGTATTTAGAAATATATAAGTATGATTATCAGCAGTATGCTTACCATAGCATAGGCTCTGTCTAGTTTTGAATCGAACGGCCATGTGTGTGTGTGAAGAGAAGTGAAGTGAAGTTATTAAATCGACTTCAAAAATGAAACAAGGAACTTTTTGTGTGTGACTTAATTATTCATCGACGGCTTGTCGGATGTACAAAATCCTTTTTTTTTTGTTTGAATGGAAATACTTTCGCGTTGGATGTATTATAAACGCGTCGGGATAAATTTCCTTATGATGCAAGACAATACATCTATTGGTTAAATTCAATTAGAATTAATCTATTTATATTATAAAAATGAAAATATTATCAGTTCGTCTCAAATGTTGTTCGTGTAACTACAAAATCAAGCTAAATACACCAGATAAAGTAAATTGGTAATTTGGTACCTATTTAAGTCGAAGTACCTGGACTTGGCGAGTGAGGCCTAAGTTCCTGCTGACTTGCCTGCCTTGATGGAGGACGTACACTCACTCGAGAGCCGCGACGGTCCTATAAATAGCAATTTAAATACTTTAACGACACTAATTATAATAAACAGTAAGTTAAAACATGTGTAGATCTTAGAACGATTTCTACTCATCACTAGGAATATATCCTGTGTCTAGGGGGATACATGCATTAAAAGGACACAACGAAACACCTGAATAGAACAACAATTTTTGGATCACACAAAATGTTATCTCATGTGGGGATCGGACCCTTTATAGTAGGGGAGCCCTAGAAGGGATTTCGGGATTTAGTTTAGATCTTAGAATTTGTAGTTTGTATTTTCAAAAATTTGCTACGAGCTTTTATCACTTTAAAATCATCAGACCTTTCAATGGCAGCATTATATCCCCTAAATATCTGATGTTGATGATTTTTTTTTAAATGTAGAAGTTTTTCTCATTGCTGAAAGTGGGAAAATTATCTAACTTTTATTCATTCTATTACCTTATCTTTTAAATGCAATAGCTCCGCATGACGCTCGAGTAAATTCCCATTTAGCAATGTTATCCAAATGATTATAACTAATCCCGGGGACGCCTCGTTGACTGGTGGTAAGTTCTTAAGCTAAGCCAAGCCTATTTTACACTATTGCCACTTTTAGGTAAGTGGGAGAAAAATATACTTGGCATACTGATGGGATTTAATATACTTCTGCCTACTCCTTTGAGGATTTAGGGCTAAAAGTTCGTATATACTTATTTTTACCATATATTAATAAGCAAGTAAGTACAGTGAAATTGGTCTCGAGAAATTTTTGCATATGTAGTGGTGTGTATATTACTCAGATCTTAGAGCGCGTTGTCACTATATCGTTCTGGCCTATACAAAAATGTTTCGATATCCTAACATTACTATTTAATTTTATACTTATCCCTAGCAACACTCTGATTTTTGTTTTCAATAAAAACAAGTTTTTATTTTAAAGAAAAAGGTTTTGACTTTATAAAAAAAAAGGTGTGTGTGCGATTCACACACGATAGAAGTGAAACTTCAAAGAGGAGAGACCGATATTTAAATTTTTTTTTTTTTTTTCTTTTCATCTAGGTTTTTAAAACTCCGGGGTGGTCTACGGGGGTGTCAAAATTTTTGTTATTTTTGGCCTAGGACGCACCGTTTTCGAGATATTTCAATCTAAAGCAAAAAATCGTCACTTGATAGTGGAAAGTGGAAACACGCACAAAACCAGAATAAACCAGTTTACGCTGTCCGTACCATACACTACTACAAACGCAAAAATTTCTCCAAGCTAATTTACCTGTAGTATAGGTTCATTGTAGTTCACTATCAAAAGTATTTAAAAACTTCTAAATTTAAATAAGAATGTAATTGGATTTACGTATGTAGTCTCCTATCACATCATCACATCAACAGCCTTTACTAGTCCACTGCTGGGCATAGGCCTCTCCTTAGAAAGGAGGTTATGTCCAGCAGCGGACGGTTAAAGACTGTTGATGTGATGTGATAATAGTTTCCTAAGGAAGAATTCCAATTTTTATTTCTAAAACGTAAATAAGGAGTTATTTTGTAAATATCGTAAAACTATATATTTTTTTAACTAAACCTCATATTCTTTTCCTTTACTGTTTGTATTATGTTTTCTATAAACTACTGATTTTATCTAATATTTTACAATACCTGTGAGTGCAGCAACTTGGAATCTCTTAGCAGAGAGACGTTCATTAGTCGCGGATTGGGCGTGTTGAAAATTGTTCGGTTTTCTCGCCATCGTGCCCTGAAATGATATTGCTATTTTGTATTTTTGTCAGGAGGAGCTTTCAGTCTACATACAAAATATATTATTCGGTACTACATTGAAATTATTTTACAATAATTTCACTAATAATTTTCAATATAGGCTGAATAGTACCTAAAATGTTTGAAGTGTGACGTAACTGATGTTGTCAATTTGATACATTAATTATTGGTATTGTTTACATTCTAGACTTGACATAATATACTACTTGTTTATGCTTATTTTAAGAGTTTTCTAATAAAATAAATTGAAGCCTTTGTACCTGCCTTCAGTACCTCAATACATATTTCTATAACTGATTTGCCATCTCTGACGTATTGTAATATTGCACAAATCTCTATAAACTCGAGGTGCTCAAATGTAAAATAAGGCAATTATATATTAAAACAGGTATGAATATAGGGCAAAACTCTCATTCTAAAACAGGTTTTGGCATGATACCCTCAGCTAACATAGTGATGACGTAATTAACATGGGTCTAAAAAGAACTGAAATCTATTTGTGCTAATTAATACTCGTATTAACCTTTTATACATAATTTAATATGGTATCTCACCTGCTAAAGAGCTGCAGCACTACACAAATGATGATGAACATGACAGCCATACCAACCAGGACGCCGATCATAGCTGGATCTAACGTCTTCGTTGACTCCTCTACGGCTTTGACCGCTGAAATATATTTTTTAAATATTTTATTAAAAGCCTTTAGAAAGTTGATAACTATCTCATATAGATCTCTTAATTACTGAATTTGTGTTTCTGGCTAATACCTAATATATATTAATAGCGCAGAAGTTAGTTACGATATAATACTTATGATATAATACACACTTATGATATAATACAATATCCAATAAAATACTTGTGACTCCTGCGTGGCAGGTATTCATGGGCGGCAGTTATCATTTACCATCAGGTAACCTACCTGTTTCTATGCTAGCTATACCATCAACAATCCTGATCTCGATTTGTATCATAAAATAAAAAAAAAAACTTACAAGTACAAACGACGCCACCGTCCACCATCATCTCGGGAACCATCTCGAACTTGCAAGCACATCGTTCATTCTTGCATTCCGTCTTAAAATCCACGTCCTCGCATTGTTCGTTAAACATGCATGTCTCGTTGATACTGGCAGCTGAAATATTTGTTGCAGACTGTTAAAGTCAATAGAGAATATAACACACAAACGAAACTAAACAATACCTATATGGAAGATTTTGGGTTGGTATGTTTTAATCGAATATATTTAGGATTCCCTTTCTTAGGAAGCCATGTACCCCATAATTTGTTAAAAATATTGCATTTAATAGATACACTATTAGGACATTACTCAAAAATCTATTTTGGTTTTAATACCAAGCGTTTGATACTATGAATATAATTAAAACCCAAGTCAACTGGGTTTTCATGGACAGTAATTATAGTTAACTATCAGGTGGGTGTTTTTGTTTGTCAAATAAATAAAAAAACAAAAAACGGCACTAATGAAGGCAACGTGATATCTGTGGAAAAACAAACTCCAACATGAATTGATTTAAAAAATGATAAACCCCTAGGATTTGTATGTTGCAAGTTAAGATTTTTCTACAAACGCTTTTTAAACACTGCTCTTCATGTTGAACTTATACGCGACATGGTGTATATATCATCATCATCATCATCAGCCTATCGCAGTCCACTGCTGGACATAGGCCAAACCCCTCCCATGCAGACGCAACAAAGGCCACGGTCCCCAGTTCCCGGCGGCCCCGCTATTCCTGGTCATGGTGGCGACCACGGTAAAGGCGGGGCAGGGGGTGCGAAGAATCTCCGGGCTACGGGAGGCCACCACAACCGACTAATAGTATATATATATACCATATATATATATAATTATAATTGTGGTATTTTGTGCTTTCACGTAATAGGTATAACATACGTTTGAATTGCCTGAAGTTTTATTTAAACTGTACCACTGATCCAGTCAGTGCGACCATGACAAGTGCAACCAGGGCCTTGATTCTGCTATCATTCCATTGACACGCTCTTGAGATGCCATTGACATCATTAATATCGAAATCGACCTTAAGACAATATTTGACAAACATTAAGTCAAAATAATGGCATCTCGGTGCCATGTTTCAGTTCGTCGGTATGGATATGAAAGTAATATTTTAGTAATGTTTGTAATGCAAAAATAATTATATTATTAATAGTCAATGTCTAGATTTAATTTTTGACGACTTAAAATCAAGTTTATCAATACACAATTTGTGTATTATAAATATTTGCACTCAGCTGAATCCATCAAGTATCATGTTTGTTTAGGTAATTTATTGTTAATGAAAAAGGAGAAAAAAAACAACAAGACTAGAGCTTGTAATAATATTTAATGATCTCTATTCTAACACAATACTATCTTCAGAATATCTGATATAATTATATAATATTATCCAAACTATGAGTGAGTATATTTAAAAATCTTTTGCATTCATCTGTTCTCCAATTTTGTCAACATTATTATGTTCCTTGACAGCTTACAATCCTTCAACATACCACAATAAGAATCCATTTCTCCAAAATAAATTGGAAAATTCTTACCGGACCCACCCGACTAAATTTGTTGTCGCATTTTAGTCCTTTATTTTGACGAGCTGGGAAACCGTAAATGAATACTAATACAGAAAATGGTTTTGGGGTTTTTGGTTTACAAATGACTGGCAAGGCTACGTGAATGTGGTAAATAATTTTGCTTCGATACTTCACAACATGATTTCCTAAATACAGACCAAAACCAACCAAAATGAATAAAAACCTTTAAGGTTTCAAAGGAATGATCATTAGATTTTTCCTATTCAATGCCTTTTAAATTACTTACTTTTTATTATTGTTATTATTTAGACAAGAATATTTTTATTGATTTGTATAAACTAACACTCAAATAACAAAAAATGCATCAGGTATATCGAGCCTAAACGGTCAAATGAGAAAAACTAAAATGTTAGTCAAGTGTGTGCAAATCCTCCAGTGAAAACCACTGATCCGATTTATGTAAATGTGGTTCCTTTGTAACGTCAACAATAGGACGTTACAAAATGGTTAAGGCACTACTTTTAGCAATACATACTATTAATGCATTAAGTTTTATTAAGATACTAAGCTTATCCAAGTATGTGTACGAAAACCAAATGATTTTATCTCAGCTCTATTGTCATACTCGTAGCATAAATGACTGTGTGTTACGTACACCCATTAGTCTCAGTTTTTGTATGTGTAAAGTGTGAATTTTAAAGTATTACAAAGTAAGTATATTAATCGCCGATGAAATAATTTTAAAACAATTAAAACTCTTGCCATCAGAAGATGTCTCTGTGACAAACTAAACCATACTACGGGGATCAAAGGATTGATTTCAATAAATAGGCAAGACGACTACTTTAATAAGTGAAAATTACTTATTTTAATAAAAACAAATAAATATTTTAAATTGTTGGAGGTAAGAGTCATTCAATCAGTCATAAATCAGTCATAAATCTTTTCCAACACGTAGATCTAGAAATGGATTAGAAACTCCAAGAGCTTAGATGTGTGTTCTAGTAAAAATAATATTCAAAATCCTTTAATCCCGTGAGTTTGAGTTGTGTCGAGTTTGTGTAGTTAGTAATTCAACACGAGTAACATGTCATTGATCGTTAACTAGTTCTACTGTGTGCCTTTGTGTTGGAATTTTTAGTATTATGTTCATGCAAACAGTTCAACTAGCATTTTACGATGCCAATACAGTTAAATCTAAATATATTATCTTTTTATAGCAAAAATGAAAATATGGCATATTAGCTTTTGCCTGCGGCTATGCCTGCGTGTATATCGATAATCGCCTTTGTCTTTCCTCAAGAAAAAAACTATCTTCATACCAAATTTTATCTATATCTGTTCTGAGGTTATTGATTCTCCATTCAAACTTCCACCCCCTTTTCATCCCCTTAAACGATGATTTCTGGGATAAAAACTATCCCATGTCTTTCCCTGGAATCAAAATATCTTCATACCAAAAATTTCATCTGTATCAGTAAAGCGGTTTAAGCGTGAAGAGGTAAAGGCAGACACACTTGTATGGATTATTCCTTTAGAGCAACTAGCGGCAAATAAGTAAAGTTTTAGACTTTACTTATTTGCCGCTGGTTAGCCGGATGGTGTAGTAGTTTATGTGAAAGTCTGTTATGCCATAGGTAACGGGTTTGATTCCCACTCAAGTCAAACATTTGTGTGCATGAACATTTAATGTTTGATTTAGTGTTGGTGTTTCCATATAAAACAAGTTTGTATTAACAAAAAAAGTATTTATGTATTTATATCGGTTGTCGAGTACCCACAGTACAAGCTCTGATTAGTGACGTTGTATGAATGTGTATTATTTTATAATTTTTAGTTTATTTATTTTAATTATTTTACATAGTTATCAATAACAGTTTAGGGATTTCTTTTGTGTCTTATCTATGCAGATACTGTAACCTACATAAATAAGTACATGTTTTACTCTGTACAATGTTAACGTTTTTACAAAAATATCTATGTGTTCTGAAATCCATATAAGAAGCTGTGTTTAATTAAGGTCTTAGAACAATTAAATTGATTTTACAAAAAGTCGTATGGGACTTATTTACTCGAATGTATATTTCATTTGATTCGTATAAGAGTTAAAAAGTTAGGCAAGTATTAAATAGGCTAATATAAATATGTTTTTGCTTATAACACATTGAAAGTAAATAATTATGTCAGAAAGTATATGAAAGATTTTTTAATTGCTTGTATTTGATGGAATATATGTTATACAAAGCCGGTACCACGAACTCGCACTGTATGAACTTTTCGTGACTTCTGCCTCTGTGCTTTTACATAAATCAGATAAGGTGCTTATGCACGACATTGGTACCGAACAAGACTTTCCTATTAAAAATATTACATAGTTACTAACGCTATAGCTTTATCGATTCAGTCACTACTCGATAAAATATTTCTTCAATCACGAAATTCAGGGTACCTTTGATCACTAATGTGACCTTGGTTCTTGATTAAAATCTTGTTCAGTTCTTTTTGGCGCCATGTTGTATCGCCACTAGCAAGCAATAGGCGATACTAGATGGCGCCTAAAATGTATCAAACTAATTTGGGGTTGCAATGTCAGAAAAATATTTCGGTGTAGGTTTAATTGTAAGCGCTAAAATATTATTTTTATTTATCCTCGTAGACATTTCGAATACTATAAGGCTGCACAACTCGTGAAAGTCTTGAGTCTTGAACAGAAGGTAGAACAGATGGAGCAGCAGGCACGCCTCAACAATATTGAGATTTGTAACCTGCCTGAGAAACGGGATGAAGACCTACCCATGCTCGTGGAACGTGTCGGTGCTTCCATCAAGTGCCCGATTTCTCGCCGGGATATTCTGTCTGTTCATCGTGTCCCCCATGCTCGTAGTCAAGAAAGTAGCCGGCCCAAAAATATAATAGTGAAGTTAGCATCGCGCGAGCTACGTAATAACGTCTTGAGTGCTTATCGCTTGACTAAAAACATATCATCTAATGAGATCGGTATCTCAGGTACATCACATAAAATCTACATTAACGAACATCTTACTTTATATAACAAAAACTTATTTCGGGAATGTCGCGAGATGGCCCGCAAACATAATATTAAGTACGTTTCGATCAAAAATACCACTATTCTTGTTAAAGCTACGGATACTTCAAAAACATTTGCTGTACGTTGTCTCAATGATATTAAAAAAATTTGTGTCTGAGTACGCACTGGCTGGAATGTATTTTAGTTGTATGTGGGTGAATTATCACTTCCCACAAAAGTTAATGTATTGTTACCTGCTTATGGCATATTATGTTCGCCGATTATTAATGGTAACCGCACTTTTTATGTTATTGTCTATAATTTTTCACTGTTGTTTCTATTTCGCTGTTAAGACTAGTGGATGTACTTGTAGATTACCTACATCATCACTGTACAGACAATATTGGATAAGTTCTTTACTGGAAACAATATATGTTTTAGTTTATAATTATAATCTTATTTATAGTGATGTAAGTTTACATATAAACCTTGAAAACGTGTTGTTCGTGCTCCAAGCTCTCATGCATTTCTGTGAC